ACAAGAGCCTTCCATGAAAATCAGGATGCCTCATAGCAGGGTGGCATAGGACTGTGCTGCAGAATAAAGCATTTTAAATGATGAATTTTATTTGACTGCGTTTCCAGCAGGTCCTGCCAGTTGTGCCATCTAGCACGTGAGTGACAGCACAACCCCACAGCCCCAGGCCTGGGTTTTCCTTTTCCTATGCTGAATTTCGCCATAAAATAAAAATAAAAGGAAAGTAAACATTATTATGAATGTCCACATCTTTTTCTTTTTTTTTAACCTGAGCTCAGACATCTGATCTGAAAGGTAACAAGCTGCTGCACGTTTCATTAAGTGGATCAAGCAGAAGGAATCTCCTACTATTGTCACTGAAGGAGAGGCTGGAGAGAGACATCATGCCCCAGCATAAGGGAAATCTCCGCCCAGGACCAGGTCCCCAAGCTGTGGGACAGCAGCATGCGGCAAGCCAGGCCACCCTGGCAGAGAGCTACCGACAGGCACAGCAAGAGGAGACAGGAAAGGACTCAGCCAAAACAAACGCTCCTTCCCAACCTGCCTTGGTCCAGGCTTCTTCTGGGCTTCTTGCAAACTGCCCCAGGCCAAAAGATGCACATTTCCAGGTCTTTTCTGAAATTTCCTGCATGCTCAAGCCATGTGCAAGCCCAGCCTGGACTATGCAATGTCACAGCACTTTGCAGGCCGCACCAATCAGTTGTATTATTTTCCAAAGTTTATGAAAATCTGTTGCAAGACAGAGTTTTCTTAGAACCAAAATCTGCATTCCTTGCTCTGGCTACTGGAAAACACAAATGCATCTGGTCTTCCTTCTCTGTGGCTGAATATTTAAAAAAAAAAAAAACAAACTGAGCTAGCAACCTCCTTTCTGCAGAGCCACAGCCAAAGGGGCTCTAAGCCCTGTTGTGTAAGGGCTGTGTCCACCTCTGGAAGGAGATGCCAGTAGAGACGTGGGGGCAGTGACAGCAGAACAGCAAATGTCTTGCTACAGCTCTGCCTGCCCCTCTTTGCTCCGCAGGAGGCAAGGGAATTAGTAACACTAACATAACATAGGTAGCAACTGCACAGCCCTGGCCAAAACAAAGCCTGTGTTGCAGCAAGCAATGCAATCTTTCTGACCGTGCGGAAAAGTGAGCGAGGCTGCTTAGCAGTTAACAGCATGGGAGGAGCTCCACTCTTTCAAATCGTGGTAGTCAGCTCCAGGAAAATGGTGGTAGGAAGTCACTGCCCATTTTTGTTATTGCCACTGGATGGCAACAGAGGTTAAGCAGAAACATTGAGTTATCACTGCGCAAACCACATGTGCACTTGCTGTGCCCCACCTTGTTATTTAGGGGAATGGCCGTGATTTCAGCACGCCTATCAGACACCGCAAATGTCTCTGAGGGATTAAGCTGTGGGCTGGCAGCAACACGATCAGCGAGATTGTTCCTGGGGTCACGCTGAATGCTGGGCTTTCACTTTGTACAGCTTCTCCATGTATTTCCTGGAATCTGCACTCAGAATCAATTTTTGTCTTGCCAGCCCAGGGCAAACCCTTCTGATGAGCCATGCAAAGTATATTTAATGCCATGGATATGAGTGAAAGACTCCTTGGTGGTATTACAGTATGACACTGTGAAATAGTTAACACTTACATGTGAAACTGATGGCTGACTATTTTTAAATTACATATACCTGGCTATGAGCTGGCCGAGGGCCACAGAAAGATCTACAGCTGGGTGTCAAAAACACAGCCAGGTGTGTCAAACAGCTTCATTTGATCCATCAGTTTCCTATGAATCTCCAGAAACACTGGGCTAGCACTGGCCTGAACTCAGGTAGGACTTGCCATGGCCATTGGGGGATCAGTCCCCACCTGGACTCCGTGAACATCACTAAAACCATTCTGTCTTAATAACGATGTGTGGTGGTAGCATAACACTTCTGAGGTGACATGTAACAAGGAGGTAACAGGAAACAATGAAGGTTTTTCTGTTTTCTATCTTCTAACAAGTACATAGTCACATCTTGTTAGTATTCTCTTAATGATAGATAACTATAATTAAGATAATTCTCTTAATTAATGAATGATGATACTGTTCTTGCTTTGGGTGACAGCATTCTGCTGCACCTCCGTTGTGTGGCACTGCCACATCTCCTTCTATTCTCGTCACTTTGGCTGAGTATGGTCTGTGCCAAATGCCTGTCAGGTGCATCTGAGTTGGCGTATGACACATGCATGATGCCCTGATGTAAAGCTCTGCAAAGACCTCAAGTTGATGCTCTGAAGGCAGCCCCTGTCCCCTTGGATGTGCTCTGCCACATCATTTCCCTGCCAGCCGATGCGGCTCCAGGCTGATGGAGCCTGGGAGGACCCATGGGGGATGCTCTGGTTCCACCAAGCCAGTTAACACATCAGTTCACCTCTGATAACTGAAAAACCACTGAAGAGTTTCACATGAATTCTCCGAGTCAGGGACAAGTTCTCCTTTCCCAGGTCAGAAGGCAAGCCCCATACTCTACCTTCAACTTAAAAATTTAACTAGCACCCACACACAGCAACCCATGCAGCAAATACCCATGACTGGAAGGTAGCATAAACTGGGCCCCACTATAATCCATATTTTCTTATCTTGAGCCCACCTCCCCATATCTGGAAATCAGCTTTAAAAAGTTACACAAGTATTAGCAATAATCTTCTTGAGAGGCTTTACTTTTTTTGTTTTCCTTGCCTTAGGCACCAGAGTGTCTCAAGGGAGAAAAGCACATACTGAAATAGTCCTCTACGCACCGCCAAATAGTAAGTAGCTGTCTTGTGTCTGTCCTGGAGGAAACATTCCTGCCACTACTGTCCTATGGGAATACAGATGGGAAACACGGACACACTGCAACGCAGGGAGAAAGTCTGGTTGTGCGCACAGGGATTTTCTCTGACCACCGTATGAGAACAAGCCTCTGCTAGCATCAGTTTGGGCAATGACAGAAATTAAACGAGACACAAAATTTAGGCCAAAAAAATCTGAATACAATCAAGGGGGACTGAAAATTGTAATGGGGCCTGAAATCTCAAAACTCAGGGACAGGCAACTAGCTGCCCCCGTGATACTCCCCAACTACTTTCCCCAAATCCAAGACCAAATTGTTAGTCGTCTGCCCGGAACAACACACAGAACACAACATGGTTGCAGAGACCCAATGCTGGACACTGCAGGAAGGGTGCGTAAGGTAAATTCAATCAACCCTACAGCTTCTAGGCTTTGGGCAGGGCCTGGGCAAGTCCTACAAAAGGGGAATTTGGGAAGGGGGAGAGAAACGGTTGGAGCTTATTCTACCCGTGAGGGAGCTAAGAGATGCACAGCGTGACATTGCGAGCTCTGAGAATCTCAGAGGCAGGAAAACATACTTACAAGCAATAATCATATGTTTCTTATTCAGCCTATTATTGTCATTAGTTCATTACCACTAAGAATGTCAGTATTAACATATTTTATTGCACTGCAGATCTTGCAGTCCTCAGCACATCGTGCAAGTTTAGGCTGTTTCCTCACTAGACTTGCACGCTTGGGTTCACAGCGCTAGATAAATCAGTTGTAAAAGCGTGCCACTTAAACATGTCTGCCACATCTCCAGATCATCATGTGGTCAAACGTCTACACAAATGCAGACACAGGAAAAAGATGCTCTCTAAGCAGCAGGGGTGGGATTCGCCCCCCCCTCCATCTTTATCCAGCTGTTTGCAAGGAAGCAGCAGCTCTCTGAATTCCAAACCCCCATCCAACAGAAGAGCCGTGGACAGCCGCTGCCCCCCAGCACAGCTGGGGGAGACAGCAGAGGGGGAGCAGGGCAGGCGTAGGGCAGCCCCAGCACCCCTCCCTCCCACGCCAGCCTACAAAGCCAGAGGCACACAAAGGTCTCGGCTATTTAGAGCTGGCATCTTGCAAAGAATAAAATGCCTTTTTCTCTTGTGCGGCTTGTGAACTAAGCCAGTTACAGGCCGCAGGGACTCCTGGCAGTGTCAGTGTGCGGTGACCGTGTGCTACCCCTTGGTCCTCAGGGTTTAGCTCAGACCAAAAGCTGGTGGTGGCTCTAGAGGTTTGTTGGGTCCAGTTGGACCCCAGCGCCTGGCATGGCAAGCCTGGACCTGGCTGGCTCTACACTGGCTTTGAAGGGATCCTACAGGGAAACAAGTGCCCTTGAGCTCACCTGAGTACCAGGGAAGTGTCTGGCTCTTCCCCTTCCCAGAGCTGGATTAGGGAAGGGGCTTTCAGAGGGGCACACAGGATGCCCCCCAAGGCATGCAGAGCTGGGATAAGCACCCCTAAGCCACCCGCCTCCCTGCATCAGCCTGGAAGTATACACAAAATCCTCATTATTCAGGATGGAGGGTGTCAGCCACCATGAGAGAGATTCGTTTAAGCTGCACCAGCTTCAGAAACACCCAGACCCACCAAACCCATACCCTCTCCTCCTCCGAATCATTCTTTTTTCCTAAATGTATCCTCAAAAACATTATCCTCACATTTTGGGAGGGGCAAGACTACCTCCCTGATTACACCCCTTCCCTGGGGCAACGCAGGGACTATTTCAGAGGAAAAATGATCATTTGTTGCTCTTTGTCCTCCAGATATCTATTGTACGAACCAGCCTTATGTTACTGGGGTTCCTGCTTGATCCAGTATCTATAGGGTTAAGCCTAAAAATTATTGTTGCTGGTATTTCTTTTTTCCTAAGGGAAAGGAAAAGGAGAAAAAGAAGAGGATGGGAAGGTCAGAGATGATGTGTGCATTGTCACAGGCGTGCCCAGCTTCAAGCTGAGGTTATCCAGTGGCAGCAGCTCCCCCTGCTCAGCACTACTAACATCTCCCCTAGGAAGGCATTTCTCCCTCCTCCCCCTTCTCAGCAGCACTGCAAAAAACAACATAAACATCTGCATTTACCTTTCTGCTTATTTAAAAACGGCAGTAGGGGTGAAGCCAAGGGACTTCTTTTGCCAGAGTCCTTGGAAGACACTTTACTTTGGTTAACAACAGTTTCTTCGATGGGTTTCTTCAGGATTATTCTTTCCTTCAGCTCCTCAGTGCTGACGGCGGAGGTCAGGGGCTCAGCACCTACTTTCGGTGCAACAAAGGAGCACTTTAGGTAGGATGCAGACTCTGCCACGTTTTCCCTGTTCATCCTGCTCTCTGTTGTTTTATTTGCTTCGTAGTCTGAGGCGTCAGTGCGCGAGCCATTCTCTTCCTTGATAATGTCCATGACCATGGGCTTCATCAGAGGGGAGTCCTGCTCCCTCTTTGGGCTCTCTTCGGAGGCTGACGAGGCATCGCAGGACTCAATGATGAGCTCACTGTCGAGCTCGGCCTCCCGCTCCTCCCGCAGGATGCTGTACTGGATGGAGGGTGAGGCAGGCGACGGAGGGGGCCCTCCGATGTGGCTGAAGGTCATGTAGTTGGAGTGCAGCACCTCCTCGGCGGCTAGTGGGTCCTCCGAGACCAGCTCGATCTCTGAGTCCCCCGACTCGGCACTGCTGGCTTCGTTATCCAGGGGTGAAGAGACTGCAGGGCGCCCAGTTTTGACCCGCGGGTCTCTCTTCTCAGTAGAAAGGGTTGGCGACCGCTGTACCTCTGGGGTCTCAAAGGAAAAGCTTTTTGCTTCCTTGATGGCACTGATGAGTTCATCCTCTGACAGGCTGCCTTTGCCCTGTGACTCTGAGCCGGACGGTTCTGCCACCCAGAAAGAAAGGGGGAAAAAAAGAAAAGAATTGTTAAAAATGAGATTTTCTGGCTGCTTAGGTGACAAACACAAAAGATTTCACACCAGCATGGATCCCTCTAGCAGGGCTGGTAACACAGGCAGAAAGTCTCCCCGTCTGGGACGACTAGCAGTAATAACAGCTTGTCCTTACAGAGCGTTTCCCATGCACATACTCCTTATAAAAGAGGTATTATTAGCATCATTTACTGAGGAAAAAGCTGAGGCACAAGGCAATGCTGGTCAGTGCTCGGCCAGAGGCTCAGCAATATGGTTTTCACCAGGAAAATCACCAGTCATGAGGAACGTGGGCTCAGGCCACACGTGACAGCATCTAACTGTCACCAACAGATACGGGTCTGCTCTCAGGACAAAAACACACATGGGGCTGGTGGGCTTCTGGCACTGGTGATTGTAACAACCCACGTGTAATTACTAATAATTTTGTCAAACTTTGACTTTTGGGGATGAAAAGTTCCAGGTCACAAACTTTTCTCAGACTTTTTTTTTGGGGGGGGAGGGGGGAGTGAGTGGTGACTTCTCTGTTTGCTTTTATCTCAGTTGAAACTCATTTTTTTACTGTAATTCTTAATATCATTAAGAACTGCATTAACCAAAATAACGACTGACCAACTTGTCATCCAAAATTTGAAACAAAAAAATTTCTATGCATTTTCTGGCTCACACTGGAAGAAGATATGCTCGGAGAAAGAAAATGAGCAGATGAAAAGGCTGGCTGGTCACCCAGGGTTAGCAAGGAGCCCACATCCCGTACTAGAAGGGAACCCAGCACCAGACTTCCCACCTGTTCTGCCTCCCTGTATATCCCTTTACCACATGAAATTTTGTAATGAAATAACAAAGAAAGTAAAATTACATGTAAAGTGTTCACAATTGGAGGCGACGGAGGCAGCGTGAGGTGCATCAGCAGCTGTCTTGACTTACTGCATAGGGAACAGCCTTCACTTTATCATTCACAGAGCATCAGCCAGCCTCAAACCCAGACTGCACCTGGTGCATCGGCAGCAAGGCCAGTCGGGCCACCTGAGCCTGTCCGTGCCAAGGGGGGCCACGGCGGCAGTTTGCACCCAATCCCCTGCTGGTGCCTGGCCACCGCTGCCTCCCGATCGCCGGTTTCCACCTTGCACTTCACTGACCCAGAGATCGCTGCCATCCACATGCAAGACCTTCCCTTCTGGGGGAAAAAAAGGCTGAATCCCCCAGTCATGTTGGAACAGCCATCAAGCACACATGGAAATTTGTCCTCTGGACTCTCGAGCGCTCATTCGTTGATTTTATATCATTATTAACATGACAGGGGTCACTAAATGGCATTGCAGGTGGTGAAGGTTCAAGAAAGCCATCAGGAGGAGAGACCCCCAAGTTTCCTCCTGCTGATGCTGGTAAAGAGGCCCATGGCAGGACACCGCCTCTGTCTGCACGTCTGGGGACTGCAGTGGAGTGGAGGAAGGTTTCCAGCCCCTCAGTTTCAGGAGTGGGGAGCCCCGAGCTGACCTGCACCCACTGCCAGTGGGTATTAGCCTTCAGCCCAGCCCTGCTTCAGGTGCAGCCACCGGCATCGGCTCCCCGGGGCCACCCGGTTGCGTTGGCCACCTCTGGAAGCTCCTTTACAACAGAGGGTGGGAAAGAGATCGTATCAGATGTGAACTGGGAAAAAAGCACTATTTTAGGCTATTTCTTGACTTAATTTCTCATGGCAATAGCATAGCTGATTTCTTCTTGATCATATGCCTTCCCCAAGACAAATCAGGTAAAGGGGGAGGTTTTAATGACAGCACCCAAGCCATGACGTCCTGCTGGGAGATGGGCAAGAAAAACAACCTCCCTACACCCCTCCAAGCAGTTTTGGTTCCTACACCCCTCCAAGCAGTTTTGGTTTGTGCATCTGCCAATACACGTCATCAGCAGTTTTGAGCACATATTGTTGGCATGTCTGCAGCTCTCTTGTAACACATTCCTCTCTCATGAGAAAGTCCTGCAACCCAGAGTATGGCCACAGACAGGATTAAGGTATTTGAGACTGTTACAACACACTCCTGTCTGGAGGCCGGGAAGTTTCTGTTGAATCGGACATGCTGAGCAGGAGCCTGTGCATCCTTTTCCTGTGGCTGCAGGAAGCCCGCATGAGCTGTGCCGCTCTCCTGCATTACCGCATGTAAGCTTTTTCTCCCTGAGCAATGACTTAATCCGGCACACGTCCAAACAGGCATGTGACCGCCAGCCCTCGTAGCGCAGCAACGCGCGGTCCCTCGGCTTCACCCCGCTCCTGCCTGCGCTGGCAGTTTGTAACTAACTCTCAGCCATGGCATTTACCTTGTGAACAAAAACATCCTTTGTGGCCAGCAGCAGGGTGTCATATTTACCACTGGCACAGAGAAGCGTATAAATACCCACCACCTTTCAGCGCCAGCATAGCATATGAACAGACCACATCTTCCTTCCCCAGAAAGATGATGGCCAGTATTTAAAACAAACCATTTTCAAAAGTCCTGATCCAAGCAGGGGGGAACTGGGGGCTTCGCCAGGATGCTTGAGAGGTATCTAGGAGCGACGACTTTGCTGGGTCACTGGGTAGAAATAGCGAGGGCAGGTTTTACATTTCTTTCTCGCTTACAAATGCAGAGCCTGGATGCAGCGTGTCCCCAGCTGCAGGGAAGGGGGGAAATCCAGAGAAAGCACTCTGCAGGAGCCAGCCCCTAAAGGAAGATGCCTGCTTCTTTCCTTAACGCGATAGATAAGCAGCGCTTCTGGCTTTCCAGCACCCCGATGCAAGGCGGTGGGACGTCCCAGGGCTAATCCCTCCCAAAGCTGGGGATCAGCTTTGTCCATGGAGAAGAACACTTCCATCCCAGCAATTACACCGGCCACACCAGTGCCTCAGTAAGGCAGAAGCCGTGACACTTGGCCACGCACTGTTCAGCTGTTTTGATGGGATACAGTCATCAAGTGTCATGAAGGCAGCCTTGAACAGTCACCAAAGACTGAATAAATAACAATTAGTGCCTGAAGTTCTTAATTGCCTTGCAGTGCAAAAAGCGTGTGCTGGTTTTGGCTGGGATAAAGTTAATTTTCTTCACAGCAGCTAGTATGGGGCTATGTTTTGGATTTCTGCTGAAAACAGTGCTGATAACACAGGGATGTTTTCGTCACTGCTGAGCAGTGCTGACACAGAGTCAAGGCCTTTTCTGCTTCTCACCCCACCCCACAGCGAGTAGGCTGGAGGGGCACAAGAAGCTGGGAGGGGACACAGCTGGGACAGCTGACCCCAATGACCAAAGGGATATCCCATACCATATGGCGTCATGCTCAGCATATAAAGCTGGGGGAAGAAGAAGGAAGGGGGGGATGTTTGGAGGGATGGCGTTTGTCTTCTAACCATTACGGAGCCCTGCTTCCCTGGAGAGGTCTGAACACCTGCCTGCCGATGGGAAGTAGTGAATGAATTCCTTGTTTTGCTTTGGTTGCGCGCACGGCTTTTGCTTTACCTATTAAACTGTCTTTATCTCAACCCACGAGGGGTTTTTTTTTCCACTTTTACTCTTCCAATTCTCTCCCCCATCCCACTGGGGTGGGGAGTGAGCGAGCGGCTGTGTGGTGCTCAGTTGCCGGCTGGGGTTAAATCACAACAAAGTGTAAATCGGTAAAAAACAACATATCTCAGAAGTGGCGTGTGATGTCACCCATTCAAATAAAAGATGAAAAATGGGACTCTAAAGTCTATTTATTAGAAAACTAAATAAATTAGAATA